CAAACAGGACATTTGAGTTTTAAAGTGAATCCCGTGGCCTGAATTCCTGCTTCCGCCCTTTTAAAGGCTCCGGCGTCGCGCCGGGAAAGTCCTCCACAGGAACCCTTCCTCTTCCTCCTGTTGCCCGCCGGCGAAGCGCCGTCCTCCCGCAGACGTCCAGCCGAGAGCCCCCCACCGAGAGCCCCCATTGGCTGTCCCACCGCCGAGGCTGGCAGGCACAGGCGGACGGCGACGGCTCCGGAATGACGGACTTTTAGGCGGAAATATCGGGAGAACGCCCGCAAACTCGGATCGAAAAGAAGGACTGAAGCTTTTACTCGCACTTTGGATTATCCGGGCGGATCTAAAACGTGGCTCGCACCCGTTTTTTTCGGCTGGAAGTTTCCGAGCGGAGCGGAGACGCGATGTGGTGACGCGACTCCGCCGTATCGACGGGAAGCTAACGTTAGCCGGGGCTAACGTTACTTGATAGATCCACACTTTTCCACAGAGCTTTCAAGACCTATTTTACGACTTTAGTATTTTAGATACTCTCGAACACGTTTTTGTGACACATTTTATCTTGTTATGTACTTTTATACGAAATTAAAGTTAAGATTAAGTGCGCGTAAATACACTAAACTAGCAAGTTTTAGCTAACTAGCAGGCTAGTAGCTAACGTTGGCTAGCTGGAGACTTTAAACTAACTCCAAGCCAAAGATTTCTGTTTTAAATTAGCCAGCAAGGCTGCGTCAGTTTCCACGTCATTTGACCGCATTACACTGTGTCTGTTAGGTATGAAATGTTGTTTTCGTCGAGTTGAACTTTATAAACTGAGGGAGCTGTTTGTTTTCGGATGCAAAAATAGACACTTTACTTCCAAATCCAGGTATGCGATCAGTCACCAGCTAATATGCTAACGTGGAGTTAGCCGGCCAAACTTGGAATACTGCCCCCTGCTCACTTCGTGTCGGTTTGAGGCCTTAAGGAAATTATTTCCCCTCTTTTTTTAAACTTTATATAACCAAGAGGACCCTCTCAGAGCCTTAATGGATCCCGGCTTGACTCCCTCTGAATGAGTTTGGGTGTCTGGAAAGCTCAATAAGATTGAGAGACACACAGTTGGAGTTCCTGGACTTTGTTTTGCTGAATCTTTATTGTAACCGGGGTTGCGGAGGAATCTGGAATAACACTATATTTCAAAGGTGAGCTGCCTTATTCCAGCTGTGTTTTCACCTCCGATCAATGGATGACTTTACAGACAGAGAGCTTCAACAGCCCCTTTCAAAGGATGCTTCACAGTCAGGAAAATGTGTAAAAAAAAAAAACATCTCCCAGAAACTTCAGAGATTCACACCTGTTTTAGCTGAAAGGATAACTGGCGTTTCACTTGGTAGATGTAATGTGGATTTAGCATTATTTGAGTGACAAATACAGCAGAAACGCTGGGCTTTGCTCCCAAAAGGCAGCTGTGAACTGAGATTCTCGGAAGAAACGCTCCATGTTTTACATCCGGATCTTGATCTGTCTTCTTTAGTTTTTTGACGTGTGGCACGTCTAGGCTGAGTTTCCACTCAACCCACCATCTGTCACCACCTCTGATGCTTTACGACCCTCCCCCTCATTCTGATCCTGAGTGGCTTGACCTCAATATGAAGCCTTGCTGTAGTGTTTTGCTCCTGGTAAATTGGGTTAACTTCAACTCGCTCCACCAGGAACAGTTATCTAGCCTTTGAAACATGTGGATAATTGGGAGTGACGGGTCGGGTTTTGTCCGGTTAATTAGCATGCAGTGAAGGGGACCCAGCTCACTGGGGTCTCTAAAAAGGAAATCGGTTTTGGCACCTCGGGCTCTCTGCAAAGAATGTGCCGGATTAATGGCTCGGCCTGCCACAGGGCTCTCACTCCGGCGGCTCTGGTTTGTGAGCCGTTCAGCGTAGGTATGTTAAATCCAGCTCACATGATTCCCGGCGTTCCTGTCTGGAAGCCCGTCTGCAGGATGTGAGTTGTTGGATGGCTCTCAGATCCTGAGATCTGTTGGCGGCAGCATCATCAGCCCTCGCACGGCCCAGCTGCCCGCTCTCCTCCGGCTTTGGTTCAGGTTTATGTTCTATAAGCGGGTAGATAAGAGGAACTACCGTATTTTTTTCGGGATGATAAGTCGCACCCGAGTACAAGTCGCACCAGCTATAAAATGCATAATAAAGAAGGAAAAGACATATAGAAGTCGCACTTTGGGGGAAATTTATTTGATGACATCTCGTCTTGAAAGGCAATTTAAAATAAAAATAGAATAGAGGCAACAACAGGCCAAACAATTGTACGGTATGCTAACGTTACATGACACATAAACAAATAACTGAGAAAGGGCCTGGTATCTTCGCATAACATATTAGGAGTTATTCAGACATTCATGACATGCTAACAAGTTTACCAAACCATCCCCGTCACTCCGAATCACTAAATCCACAAAACACAAAGCACAGTTCGTGCGAACTCGTTCCTCCAGCTGTGGCCGCCTAGCTCTTTGCCCGCGATTGGCTTTTTTTGTTTTCTTCATTTCAGTCAGAGTAACTTTTGCTTTCGTCCCGTACAAGTGTCTCGCTAACTCCAAACTTTCATTCTGCCGCTCGATTCCCGTTTTCGGCTGCACATTTTACTCGTATCTTGTAATCTGCAGAATCTGATTTTCTTTTCGGTTCCATTTTTGTTAGGCCCTTCTCAGTTGTTTTTAGAAGTTGCCGCCTATGTTGAAATGATCAACACAAGCCTAGAGCGGTTTAATGTGAAAATACCATGTGAAATGATTTAACAACGTGTTAATAAGTTCACACATAAGTTGCTCCCCCGGCCAAAATATGAACAAAAACTACGACTTGTAGTCCGTAAAAATTGGTAGTTGGGTTTCTGTGGGTTCTCCCTCTGACGGGGCCACAGGCAGCTGGGGGGTTCCTGGGGTGTCCTTCATTCAGGCAGGCTGATTTAATCACTGTCTTATCTCCAGTCTGTTTAGACAGAGACCGAGTAAGAGCCTGACCAAAACTGGGCCAATAAAACTGCACCGTCTGGGTTCTTTGTTGGATGTGTTCACATCTCATTTTGTGTCTTTTGTCCTTGCTGGTGCGATTATTGTGGAGGGGAACTGATAAACGGCTCAATCCAAAATTAGAACAGAGAAGAGGGAATTACAACTAATAGATTATCAGCTCTCCATGGAAATTAAATCGGAATTATAGAGGAAATTCGTTTGAAATGGTTTAAAAGTGAATTGTGGGGAGTTTTGCTGCTATTAAATCTTCTATTAGTGAATTTCAAAATGTATAATTAAAGTTACATCATTGAAAATTGTAATTAGACTGCAATATTTGTAGTTTTTTCCAGAGAGTGTTGATGAAGCCGAGCGTTTGACAGCGTTTTTTGGACCAAATAACGTGATCTTTTGTACTTTTGATGAGTTTTTTTGGCACTGACAGTCTGTTTTTCGATTCCTCCCCAACCCGCCGCTCCGTGGTGGCTTCAGATGATGTGCGAGGTGATGCCCACCATCAGCGAGGCAGAAGGGGGCGGGGCCGGCGGCCGGCGGGGCTCCGGCTCGCCGCTGCAGTCCGACTCCGAGGGCCACTTCGAGTCGCTGATGGTGTCCATGCTGGAGGAGAGGGACCGGCTCCTGGAGACTCTGAGGGAGAGCCAGGAGAACCTGGGCCTGACGCAGAGCAAGCTGCACGAAGTGAGCCATGAGAGGGACTCGCTGCAGAGGCAGCTGAACACGGCGCTGCCACAGGTGAGAGCAACCGAGCACCTGCTGGACCCTGAGGCTGCTCAGCCCGGTTCAAATATGGAGGCGTTTTTTTTTATTTAAATTTTTTTAAGATATAAATTAAATATTGTTAAATAATTTATGAAATAAATATTTTGTTAGATACATTTTTTAAAATAAAAATGTTGATTCCACTGAAAAGGAAAAAAAAGGATTTAAAAAAAACATCCCGTTATTTTTTTCCTTTTATTTTAAATTATTATTTAAATGTTATTAGATAATTATTCATTTTTTCATTGGATGTTTAAAAAAAAATCATCTGTATTTAAAAAAAAAAAACATCCATATTTTATCATTCTTATTTTTTCCTTTTATTTTTAAAAAATGTATTTTATTTATTTATTTTCAAATAGATGTTTAAAAAAAACCATCCATATTTAAAAAAAAAAAAAAAAAGGATGTTTTTTTAGATTTCATTCCACGTCTGTAGGGCTGGGCAGCTACAGTCCTGTTTGGGCCGCCGTCCTGCAGGTTTTGGAGGTGTCCCAGCTTCCAACACACCTGATGTAGTGTTGATGGGAATCAGGTGTGTAGAAGAAGAGAAATGTCTAAAAACCTGCAGGACAGCAGCCCAGAGAGGCCCACAGAGGCCTGGAGCTGCCCAGCCAACACTCATGCTGACCATTTTTGTGGATGTCCACTCCAGTTGTCTCTGCAGAAACGTTTTTCCTAACCAGATATTCTGAATGCCATCGTTTGATCAGGTTGAAGCAAAAAAAAAAAAAAAAGGTTGAATTAGTCCAGTCGTTCCGGTTTGAACAGGCAGCTGTGTTAACTATGGTGGCTGGGTGTGTCCAAAACTGTGATCAAAGCTGTTTATTAGAGGTGGAGAGACTCAATGGTCTGCAGATGTGCATGAAGAAATGTTAGAAATTTGAACCTGGGGGTCTTTTCAGACTGATTGCATTAGTTTCCCACTGGCAGCGGCTACGGTCAGCCCGGTTTTAGGGCCTCCGCCTGGCCTCTGATTGGCCCGGAAGTGTTGTCACTGGAGGCAGACCTTTTTAAAAACCCGGCAGCAGAGAGCAAGCGGCGGGGCTACCTCTGTGTCTGGGACGGTCAGCCACTCCCGGGGTGACATGAAGCCGATTGGTGGAGCCGCCGTGGCAGTAAAGGTTAAAATGCCCGCGTGGCCCCTCGTCAAAACGCCAAAATGTCCTCGACCCCTTTGAGTAACGGCTGTCGTGTATATTTGCCAGCCAGGCTTCAGACAGAGGGAACAGACCGGTGAAAAAACGCTTTACTTCCTGTAAAAAACCTTTAGAGATCACGGCAGTGACGTTCAAATCCACCCCTAAAACGCACCGAAATCGCTCTAGTTGTTTGTTTTTCTGACAGCTGGACCTCCAATTAGAGCGCGAGCCTAATATAAAAGGAAACCCTGCGCCTGCTTTTGTCCCCCCGCTGGATTAATTACCCGCCTTTGCCTGCGAGCGGCTTCGGGTTTCCACCTGTTAATTATGCAGAGGCCAACAGGGGTCTGCTGAGCGGCGTGCAGCCCTGCGTCCCCCGCACGGAAACCAGCGCGGCTTTGACTAAAAAAGGAAGAGAAGCCGGGCGCTCGCTGGCCCGAGAGCGCTGGGAGCCGCGTCTGGGAAACGTCTGGACGCAGGCGGACCACACAGAGCAGCAGATTTTGCTCCCGGCTTTCCTAAATCCTGCCACGATTGTCTGGGCTTTAATTGACCCCGCTGACATAATGTAAAGAGGGAAATACGTGGAGATAAACGCGTTACACAAAGCGATTAATAGACCAAACTTTTGCCCGTCCGTCTGTGAGAGACTTGTCGGCAGAATTGGACCCGACATGCCGACTCGTCGGTTTCAAGATGCAAAGATAACAACAACAAAAAATGTCCAGTTTCCATTCGGTCAGACTTGGAAATCTGCTGGAGCTCGGAAAGATTTTTCCAACCTTTAGACAATGAATCAAGGATTTATTCCGGCTAAAACGCTAAAGATATTAAGGCCCTAATCCTGTGGAGGGAGGGCCATCTCACAATTCTCTGCATGTGTAGGTTTTTCCAGACTTTTCTTCAAAGCGTCGCTTTTAAGCAGGCGCTGGGATAAAGAGAAGGTATTTTTAGAAATGCTGTGTTTGAAATGATTGTAATCGCACGTGCACGTCGGTGGCGGTCAGAGCCGGTGCGTGTTCTCACTGCGACATCCTCATTTTAAAGACGCACGCACACAAAAATGAGCATTTCATGGAAAAAAGATGACAATTTCCAAGAGCTCCCGCTGACGATCGGTGAACAGAAACCTGACACAGTCACATTTGTCTGCTTTCCTCTTCCAGTGTGTCCTTTTATTAAAGTTATCTATTAACTTTATTGATTCTGTTGGACCTAAGGAAACTCATTGAAATGCAAGTGTCAGCGTTTATGTAAGAATGTGCATCTGGAAAGAAACAAAGTCCAGATGTTGACTGCCCACATATGTCAAACTATTTAGCTGTCCGTTCAGGCCTGTTCTAAACTACAAACAACTCTAACCCTGTTTTTTTTAAAGCCATCACCGCTGATATGTCGCGTTCAGGTTGAGTTCCTGAACGCAGCACCTCAGAGTGTGTGCAGGTTTCCACTGAGGTTGGAAGTGATGGCCAGGAGTCAGTCTGTGGACAAAAAGTTTTTAAAGAATGGGCTGCAAGATGAAAAAAAGGTGAATTAGTCCAGTCGTTCCGGTTTGAACAGGCAGCTGTGTTAACTATGGTGGCTGGGTGTGTCCAAAACTGTGATCAAAGCTGTTTATTAGAGCTTGATAGACTCGCTGGTCTGCCGATGTGCACGAAGAAATGTTAGAAATTGGGACATGGGGGGGCCTTTTTCCAGACCGATTCCATTGGTTTCCCACCGGCAGCGGCTCCGGTCGGCCCAGTTTTAGGGCGTCCATCAGGCCTCTGATTGGTCAGGAAGTGATGTCACCAGATGATGACGGGGACATTTAAAAGAAATAAACAAAAACCGAGCGACTTCAATATTTCTGTGATCAGAAACAACCATCCGTGTGCTCGTGTCCACCAGAGGATTGTGATCATTTCTGTGGCCATCAAAGTGGTAAAAACTCCAATCAAGTGGGAGCTAAAAGTGACCCTCATGATGGAAGAGCTTAAAAGAAACAAGTCTAGTTGCGTATGGCCGAGCAGAAAAGTGGAGCAGAGCCAAAGCAGCTGATGTGGTAATTGGTCATAATGGGAAGCGAGTTAAACCGAGCTGAGCAGAGCCGGTTAGGTGGTGGAGAGGAGCTCTCCGGGGCTGTTTATGGGTAATCTAACTAACTGTTGTGAGTCCCGGCTGATGTCACGCCAGCTGCCTGCCGTTGGGAACATCATGACTTTCATTTGGCGCCTTAATAAGAGCTCAAACCTGAAGCTTTTGTCTCGACGCAGACGTTTTCTAAGAAAAAGGGACCGGAGGTGCTTATTATATCATCCCAGAAACGCACTCATGCGGACATAAAAATGTTTTCCAGCCTGTTTTTAGCTGCATTTCTCAGGTTACACACAGCAGACTTGACATTTTTGTGTTGTGAGGAGCTTTCCATTTAAATACGACCTCCACGCAGCAGCTTACTTTCCACTTCCTTCCTGTTTTTCCTCATTTTGCATCAGAAAAAGAGGAAATGTGTCAAGCCGACAAAGCTAAGCCTGATCTTAAGTGCGGTGCCTGAGATTGCATTGACGTATTGGTTGCTTTTCTGGGTGGTTTCAGAGTGTCGGGAGCAATTCCCAGAAGCTAACCTGCAGCTAACCTTCACCAGTGGTTGTTGTCGTACTTCTGCTTGTTGTGTGTTGCTGATTCCAAGTTTTCCGGGCAACTTGGAGGTCTTAGCCTTTGTGTGCCGACACAAAACTCTGGATCTCTGCCTCTTTCCGTCCCTGTCAACCGTTTTCGGGTCCTCCTTCCTCCCTTTTTTGTCTCTTCCTCCTTCAGTCTCCTCTTGCTCAGGGCCTCTGCTCTGCTCCCCTTTGTGTTTTGATTTCTATGTGATTAAAATATCTGTGGAAAAAGGCTTCGGTTGAGTTGTAGATTCCTGGGTTTGGAAACGAGTAGAGCTGGTATTAGAAAGATCTTTTGCTTTATTTTCCGTGCCTGCTCTTTCAGCTTCAGCCCCCCCAGAGCTTTGAATGAGGGCAGAAGGGGAGCTAATGGTCGAGTCGTGGCTAACAGAACGCTAATGCCAGCCGGGGAAAAGTCTCCACAGAGCAAAGTGTGCAGCGGCCTCTTCGGGCTTCCAGCCCCCCATTTGTTTTCATTCTTTATGGTAGGAAAACATGGCGTGGATCCAGTTTTTACCCGCGACGCTCATGAGTTCAGCCGAGAAACAAAACTGCTGCACAGACGCGAGCCGATCGGATTCAACCGTGTGATTTTTCTCATGGCTCATTTGGACTCATCAGCCTTAGAAAAAGACAACAGGAGGTCGAATGAAGGGAAACATGAAATACATTTTAGTCTTCCAGCTTCCATCTTGTGTGACGAGCTTGGAAAGTTCAGTTCAGGCAGTTGGAGGTGAAGTTTTCTAGAAGACGTTTGGCGTCTGATCCAGAAGGTTCTTCAGCTCTAACTGATGGTGGAGCTCTGAGGTTAATATACTGGAGGTTGAGCTAAAGAATTAGGAGGAACACCAAAACTGGCTCTGCTCCCTCCAGCTGGGGGGGCCATGGAGGTAACCTGGGGGGGTTCATGGTGTTTAGGGGGCTCCTTTTTAGAGTGTTTTGGGTCCCATCTTTGAAGTGTGAGTCAGGTGAGGGCAGCTGAGAGTTGAATCTTCTGGGTGTTGTTCCTAAAAGTTCTCTGGAAGGAAGTGACAGCTTTTGTCTGAGACCAGCTCCTCTGCTGAGTCATGGTTTCTCAAGGGTAACAACAATGGCTTGTGTCCTTCAGCCTCCAGGAGACCAGCTGAGTCCCGAGGAGTCGCCATGCTGTTGATTGGTCTCTCCAGTCCAGCTCTGAGCACGTTGT